AATAATTTATTAATTGAATGGCATGCACTTACTTGACATCTAAATTGTTTTTTGTAAAGTTTACTTGATTCTTTATTACAGTGGTCACCAAACATGTTCCTGAAGGGCCGGTGTCCTGCAGATTTTAGTTCCAACCCTAATCAAACACACCTGAACAAGCTAATAAAGGTCTTACTAGGTATACTTGAAACGCCCAGGCAGGTGTGTTGAGGTAAGTTGGAGCTTAACCCTGCAGGGACACCGGCCCTCCAGGACCGAGATTGGTGACCCCTGCTCTATTATATGCATGTCCTATAATTGTCTTCGGGGATCATTTTTATGATGATAAATCTGATAAATGAATTTGATAACATTTTTTTTTAAAGTGCATTTAGCAGATATTTCATTTATTTATTTATAATTTATTATTATAATCAGCCTCGACAGCCTTAACTTAAATTGCTTCTATTCCTGTTTTTATTATTATTTATTAAATAAAAAGTAAGCTGTAAAATTGTCGTCATTTAGGCTTTGTAATTGCCCTTATTTCCACAAAGGTATTCCTAAGAAATAATCCTCTTTGAAATACAGTACTGTTGCCTTCATGGTCCATCAAAACAGACGCACTGTAGTCTGTCGGGATGTTACAGTTTGCTTCATTGTGCTTCTTCAGCCTCAGACAATCCTGTGTCTTTTAAGTCCCTCGCCAGTGTGTTGAGATCAGTCTGTGTGTGAACTGAAATGCAGTGAATTCCAGGCACTAAGGATTCAAACTTTTTTTCTCTCTCTTTTTTTATTGTCTTAGTGTCTATTTTCAGCCTTCCATTTGGTGCATGTGGAGATGTGCTCACAATATCCCGTTTATTCTCTGTCTGGGATATTAACAAAAGACTGTCTTTATCGTTTTTTTGTCTTAGGTCTCTTTGTCTCATTTTTATTTGTTCGAATTTATCAAGATTGGAAATCTTTTAGCAGACGTTTAAATTTGATTGTTCATCTTATACTCTCCTCTGATTAAATTCAGGCAAAACTGAACTGCAAAAGTATTCATACAGTATACAGTTGAAGTCAGAATTATCAGCCCCCTTTTGAATTTTGTTTTCTTTTTTTAAGATTTATTTGAAATAAAATTTTCACAGTATGTCTGATAATATTTTTTTCTTCTGGAGAAAGTCTTACTTGTTTTATTTCAGGTAGAATAAAAGCAGCTTTTAATTTTTTAAAGCCATTTTAAGGTCAAAATTATTAGCCCCTTTAAACTATATTTTTTTCCATAGTCAACAGAACAAACCACCGTTATACAATAACTAGCCTAATTGTTCTATCCTGCCTAGTTAACCTAATTAACCTAGTTAAGCCTTTAAATATCACTTTAATCTGTATAGAAGTGTCTTAAAAAAATATTAAATAGTAAAATATTATTTACTGTCATCATGGCAAAGATAAAACAAATCAGTTAAAGATATTTGGTAATGTATACTGTACATGTAGTATTTTAGGTACTATATTCAGTTTATTTTAAATAAGATTTCAAGTTATGGTTTTAGTATTACTATAATAAGATTTTAGAATTATTATTTAATTTTACTTTCGATTTTAGTGATTTGTCAGTGTGTTTTTGTCATTTCTATTTATTATTTCATTGATTTTATGTATATTTTAATGATTGATTTAATATTTATTACATTTTAGAAAATAAAAGTTTATTTTGTACGTTGTTTGTTTGCTTATTATGTTTATAGCTTAAAAAGTTCTCAGCATAAATGAGTTCACCCCTCACAGATCTCTCTTATAAATTAATATTGTCTATAGGATGATTTACAGTAATATATTTTTATGTACACTGAAAAAATTCATTCATTCATTCATTTTCATTTCTGCTTACTCCTTTTATTAATCTGGGGTCGCCACAGCGGAATGAACTGCCAACTTCTCCAGCACATGTTTTACGCAGCGGATGCCTTTCCAGTCGCAACCCAACACTGGGAAATACCCAATTTAGCTTATTCAATTCACCTATAGCGCATGTCTTTGGGCTGTGGGGGAAAATGGAGCACAAGGAGGAAACCCCCACGAACACGGGGAGAACATGCAAACTCCACACAGAAATGGCAATTGACTCGGCCGGGGTTCAAACCAGCGACCTTCTTGCTGTATGGCGATCGTGCTACCCACTGCACCACCATGACGCCCATTTTTTCCTAATTTTCTCATTTACATATAATTATATTATCTTTCCATTCTTAATGATATTCTGTGACCAAACTCTTATTTTAATTAATATAACTGTTCAACAAAATGGTTTTGTTTAAACGCACCAAAATGTATTGTCTATATTCACTGAGAATTGAATAAAATATGAATTTTTTTATATAAGAGGTTGTAGTCATTCATGCTGAGCGCTGTATATAATTGAACTATAATACTCCTGCATCAGCCAAAATTATTTTAATAGCATGTTGCATTCATCTGATGCCATATCTCATTTGTAATACATGGCTATTTCTGAAAGGATTACATTACTGATTGCTCCTGGCATTGTAATTTTTCATTCTCAGCATAATGACTCATGTCCCGTACTGACTGATGCAACAGTAAATTATTTTAAGTCAGTGTTCTTGTTCTTGCTGTGACATTGACTTTGAATCCAAATCCCAATGCTTCATTTTTTTTTCCATTTGTCTCTAAAATATCAGCTACTTTTGTATAGTTTCCAGCCTGTTGTCTGCTTTAGCTTCACCTGTTTATTTAAGTCATGCATAATTTCCATCTCACTGAGGGATCAGCCTTCAGATGAGTGTACTTTGAACTATGCACAATTTCATCAGAATGTTCAATAAATCAGCTCATAAATGTAAGCATCCGCATAGGCTGGATGTGAAGATGTATGCCAATATGCCTTGCCAATAGAATGATGTGACGATTATGAGCCTGCAGTAACTTACTTCTTTGCCAGTATAGTGCTTTAGCAGTAGGGCTGCATTGTCAATTGTTAAGGCTGTTTTCATGCTCACTTTGTCAGTAAAGCCGGTTCTGTAATCGACAGTAAAGGGCAACTGCTCACAGATTAAGCAATGTTTATTAAACAGAGAAATAGTTCACTAGACAAGCTATGCAAAATTGCACTTTAATCAGTATGATTCTGAAATAATTTTTCGATTTGATCTGTGTTTGCATTGTTTTCAGTGATTATTGACTGTGTTGCTGCTACATATGCCAGCATCTGAAAATGCTATATATTTTTACAGGTGCTTTATTTTTTTTCTAAAAAAATCCAAAACAAATCATATTGTACAAACATAATCAGACTATTTTTTTCCTAACCAAAAGCAAAAAAAGAAAGAAAGCTCCATATCAGAGAGATAAAAAAAATAGTATTAAAAAAAAATCTTAAAGCTTGCAACTAAGAAATAGAAGGTAGATTCACCAAAAATGGTCCCCAGATGTTTTTTTCTAAACTCCTTGGTGATCCTTTAACACTATTTTAACAGTATTTTATAGTATAGTATAGTATAGTATAGTATAGTATAGTACAGTCCAGTGTAGTACAGTACAGTATGTATAGTATAGTACAGTACTGTATAGTATAGTACAGTACAGTATGTATAGTATTGTGCAGTATGTATAGTATTGTATAGTACAATATAGTATAGTATAGTACAGTTCAATATGTGTAGTATAGAATAGTATAGTACAGTATGTATAGTATAGTATTGTTTAGTATGTATGGTATAGTATAGTATAGTATGCATAGTATAGTACAGTATAGTATAGTATAATATGTATAGTATAGTATAGTACAGTAGAGTACAGTATGTATAGTGTAGTATAGTATGAATAGGATAGTATGGTAAGTATAGTAGAGTATGTATAGTATAGTATAATATAGTACAGTATAGCATAGTATAGTATTATATTAAAATATTTTATAGTATAGTAAATAACTATAACAGTTAATTAAATGCATTTTCCCCTGCCATTCCTGCCAGAAGTGTACAGTAAAGTGAAAATACAATATTTAACACTTTTTTTACTCCAAACAAAAATATCAAGAAATTCTTAAATCTAGAAGCAATTTCTAGACATGCAAAAAAAAATCATAAAAAAAAAAAAGCTACTGTAACTAATTTGCCAATGGGGAAAGCAAAATAATCTTGTGTCAAAAGGTAAAACAAGATTAGTTTGCTCACCCCACTGGAAAATTATTTTACTAGTTTTAAGGGTCTTTTTTCCTCAGAGGAGTTTTACTATAGATCTCAGAACTGTGACAAGATGTGCATGACAAATCGCAGATTTTGATTTCAATTTAATTTCAATTTATAGTGTAGCCCTTGTCGACAGTCTACTACTACTAGGCAAAGTGTTAAAGGGCACCCTTTTTGATCACTTTTTCAAAATTTAAGATTAGTCTTTTGTGACTTCAGTATGTATCTGTAAAGTTTCCACATTAAAATACCCATCAGATTATTTATAATACCTTCAAAAACTGGACTGGACTTAACTGGACACTGGGCGAGGCAGCTAAGAGGTAGGGTTCAGGACTGAACACAGAGCAGGATACAGGTGGTGGGGATTAGGCTGATGACAGGGGAGTTTAAAGGAACAAGAGTCACTACCACCATCTGATGTTGAGGAGTATAGGGCAATATTACTTCACCACCTGGTGGCTTGGAAGATGTGATAAAGTGCTGATATATTACACTTACTGTCTTTGTATCACTCCAATATGAATGTGGACACACTATACGTGCACACAGCTCAGTCCAAACAGCTTACAAAAGATTATTTTCATCATAGGTGCCCTTTAAACTAGTTAAACGAAAGTAAAAAAAAACACAAATGCCATGAAGTCATAGTCCCAGTTTTCTCATTTCTATTTGTATTTGTATGCAAAACTTTAAGAATTTGCCATAGCCTTAATGGTCAGAGGCTGTAGCACAACATGCTAGCAAAATAGACCTTGAATATTGTCTTATCAGATATGGGCAAAAATGAAATGACTTGTGTCTGTGTGTTGTCAGATCTCGCTGCTGAAACAGAGCCTGGAGCTGCAGATGTCGCAGTCGAAGAGCGCGCTGCAGCAGCTACAGGCGCAGTTCAGTCAGGAGCGTGAACACCTGGCACAGCAGCTGCAGGAGGTGGCACTGGAGCAGCAGCACAGAGAGCACCGTCTGCAGGAGGCACACTGCTGTGCCATGCAGGACATGGAGGACGCACAGCAGATGGAACTCTCGGTACCTGCGCATTACATACAGACCCCCACACAATCACATGAGTGCCTCGAGGTACAGTCAGGGGCAGTTTGAGTAGTTTTGACACTTTTCAGCTAGACAGTATTCACAATCTATACTAAAGTTCAGGGGCGGTTCTAAGATTTCATCCTCGCTAATGTTGTTGGTAATCCTAAATAGATAAATGTAATAATCTTTATAACAAAGAAACAGGTACATGGCTTATTTATTTTCAGTCTAGCTTTTTTAACATTGTTTATTGGATTTTTATAAGTTAAATACAGCACACAACACAACAAAGTAGGTCTATCATGACCTTATATACTCCCCTATACATGCCCCAAACCTCCACCCCATAGTGCCACGATTAAATTAATAAAATTAAACAAGCAAAAAAATCATAGTAGGTGATATCTAAGCATTCTGTCCTGTCATATCCAATTAGGAAGTAAAGCTGCCCCAGTCTTTGACAATTAAATCTTGACACTTTTTCAAACTAAATGCAAATTTTTCTAAAGGCATGTAAGATGACACTTCCTTAAATCTCATTTTCAGTTAATTATTCAATAACTTACTCAAAAAAACCTAATGAAAACTTAATTAACTTACTAGATGGTTCCTTTTTGAAGAATTATTTAGTGACATACATTTTTGATGGTTAGTTGTCGCCATCTATTGGTTAAAACATATAATTGCGACGACCTTTATTTGGAGCGTCAATTTGCTTTTGAAGTAGGGCTGGGCGATAAAACAGTATCAGTGTTTATTGACGGTGCACCATTGTCAATAACGATGTTACGTTCTGTATCAAGCGGAATAGTTTTATTAAAATGCAACTGGCTGATTGCGCAACTTGCCTGAATGTCAACATCTACTGTGTCAGATTTTTCTATGAATGAGCGTGTTACGAGTGACAAACAAACTACGTTGCATAGCTCTTGGGTTGAGTTGCGTCATTTCCACCTCAGATCAGCATTACACAATGAGCGCACTGCCTAGCAGCAGTGAGGAGATTGTAAGCATATAGCATGGGGGGGAATGTAGTCACATGTACTTTAAAACAGCATAAAAATCAGAGAGAGTTAACCAACTTGTAATGTGGCAATATTTAGGTGAAGAACAATGAACGTTGGTTCCTCTACATGGTTATCATAATTTGTTTTGTTTACAGAGTTTGAGGTTTACTGCGTATCGTTATTATTGACGTCTTACAGCATGTTGATCTACCTTAAAGTTTGCTTTGATGGTTCAGCGTTCACACTACCATTGCACACACTTTGTGGCATTTTATTTAGTACATTTAAGAGTCTCTTTAACACGTGTCTAATTTATTATAAAATATAAGAGACAATGTTTTATTTAACTTGCTCCAAGTTCCCAAAGCAAGGAAATTTTCACAGTATGTCTGATAATACTTTTTCTTCTGGAAAAAGTCTTTATTCGACTAGAATGAAAGCAGTTATTCATTTTTTAAACACCATTAGAAGGACAAAATTGTTAGACCCTATTTTTTTCGATAGTCTGCGGAACAAACCATCGTTATACAATACCTTGCCTAATTACCCTAACCTGCCTAGTTAACCTAATTAACTTAGTTAACTTTAAATGTCACTGTAAGCTGTATAGAAGTGTCTTGAAAAATATCTAGTCAAAGATTATTTACTGTCATCATGGCAAAGAAAAAATAAATCAGTTATTAGAGATGAGTTATTGAAACTATTATGTTTTGAAATGTGCTGAAAAAAATCTTCTCTCCGTTAAACAGAAATTGGGGGGGAAAAACAGAGGGGCTAATAATTCAGGGGGGCTTTTTTATTTATTTATTTATTTATTTATTTATTTATTTATTTACTTACTTTATAAATGGATTGTTAAAAATAATAATACCGAAGTATTTGAAATATTATGTTGTGCTCTTTTTTTTTCTGTATCGCCCAGCTCTATTTTGAATAATTACTTTTATCTTTATCATAAACATAGGTGTTTATATCTAAGCTTTAAACTGATATTCTAGTGTTATTCTGCGACTATTCAGTTGTATGTAATATAAAGTTTTCAAACACTAATAACCTAAGAAAGACAATTATTTGGGTGAATTTCACAACACATCATCTCTCACCTCCGGCTGGTGCAGCAGCAGACACACAACACATCAATCACACAAAAATCACACCTAAATTACCATGCACAACCACAATAGCAAAAAAATTAAACTTGGTTTATTGTTTTTCTTATCCACAATTTTTTCAAAAATGTTTTTGAATAGCTTTAAATTAGATTGTATTTAAGGGTCCTAAAAGTGTCTAGAACCGTTCCTTAAGATTATGTGAAAAGTAAAAAAACAAAGTATGATAAACCTGTTTATATCTTTCATATTACAAAAAAAGTCATGTCGAGAAAGTTTGAGGCCAGTAGATTTTGCAAGAAGCTTTATTTGCTCACCATGGCTGAAAATACAGTAAAACTTTATTTTATGAAGATTATGAAACATTGTTACTATTTAAATGGCGGTTCAGTGGTTAGCACTGTCACTTCAGTGCAAGAAGGTCGCTGATTCGAGTCACGGCTGGGTCAGTTGGGATTTCTGTGTGCATGTTCTCCCCGTGTTTGCGGGGGTTTACCCAACAGTCCAAAGACATGCGCTATAAGTAAATTGAATAAACTAAATTGGCCGTAGTGAATGAGTGTGTATGGGTGTTTCCCAGTACTGGGTTGCTTGCATCTGGAAGGGCATCCGCTGAGTAAAACATATGCTGTAATAGTTGGCAGTTCATTCCGCTGTGGTGATCCCTGGTAATCAGGGACTAAGCCAAAGAAAAATGAATGAATTACTATTTAATAGTAACAATTAATAGAAATTATTAACTCAAACGACGCAGAGCTCTATTTTTAGCATCATTACTCCAGTCTTCAGTGTCACATGATTGTTCAGTAATAATTCTATAGTGTGCACATTTTTGAACTAAAAATATTTTGTACTATTCTAAAACACGATGAAGATCATTTAACGCATATATAGTTTAAAAGAACATTATTTATTGGAAATTAAACATTTTCATGATCATTTTCACCTAGGATCGATTTAGTGCATCTAAAACCTTACTGAGCTCAAACTTTTTGAACAGTTGTGTGCATGATTTGTCATCCTGTACTGATGATCACCTTCATTGTCTCCTCTTCCCCCTTCATAGTTCATGTCTGTTTGCTTTACTCTCTGGATTTGTCACCCCTGCATTATCACCTCACACTGAGAATCTCCACTGTGCATGACATCCATATGGTAAATTAACCTTCTTTTGTCCTCCTTTGTCTGCCATCTACTCCTAAAACACATTTTTATATATATAAAAAAACACGATTCTCCTCCAGGAAACTGCAGCTGTTTCATTTCAGGACTAAGAATATTTTAAGATCGCAAGCCCAGACATTTAAAGAAGACACACCATGCTCAGTCTAAAAGGCTTTTCTCGCTCATGCAGCCTCCCTGGTGCTGCGGCCAAGAAAGAAGCTTCTTTAAGCTGATTTGGCCACATTTCGGATTACCGAGTAATGAAAAAAACATTAATAGTCGCTTTCATCTCCGTTCTTTTATGTCAGCCCTTGAATGTGGTTGTTGGCGCTGCATGTTGGAGTGTCTTTGTGGGTGGACTGTGTAAATGTCCTCTCGTTCCTCCCAGATGTGGGGTGGCATGGATAAATGATTCATGAAATGGCGGAGTGTTGACACTGAAACGGCATGATTTCGTATTTAGGTGATACTGTACGCCATCGTCTAATTACTTACTAACCTGCTGTTTTGAAAATCCTCTTAATTCCTTTTCTTCTTCCCACATTTCTTTGGTTAATTCTGCCCAAAGTGGCTTAACGCAGCTGTTTGATGTGAAGGCGGCGCTAATGCTAATGTGATGATTCCCTTCCTAAAATATTGTCTATACTGGATAGTATACATATGTATCTATACTGGTTATACTGTATATTGTGTTTGTGTGTGTGTGTGTGTGTGTGTGTGTGTGTGTATGAACCGGAATTGTATACAGTACAACAAATGTGTAATTTACAGTAAATTTGGTAAGCTATATTGTTCGTAGTGTATGTGTGTGAATGAGTGTGTATGGATGTTTGCAGCTGGAAGGGCATCCGCTCCGTAAAACATATGCTGGATAAGTTGGCGGTTCATTCCACTGTGGCGACCCTTGATTAATAAAAGGACCAAGCTGAAAAGAAAATAAATGAATGAAAAAATGTGAATTGGAGCATTTTGTGTATATATATTTTAATTGTTTTTGGCATATAAACAATAACCTTAACTACAACAGAAAGAGTACAAAGGCCATTTCACAATACACAGAATGTCAGACACAACATTATATAAAATATTTCAAGAAAGCATAAGAAAAATAATTGATTAAATATAATTAAACAACAATTTACAGAGAAGTGTGTAGGCTCCACAACTCGATGTATGCCAAACCAGCCAAAGAGTTACAGGTCAGCATCACTAATATAAAGCTTAATTGGATTCCAGGTTTTTAAAAATATGTTTTGTTTGTTTGCCAACCCATATCTCAGGAATTAGAGCATTTGATTGTGCTACTATTTGTTATTTAACTCATTGTTATGCCTTTTAAAACACTAACAGAGTTTAAAATAATAGAGACATTTTCCACCATTTTGTGCTTCAGCTCAAGATGCTAACCTCAAACCAGATACCACATGGTGTTTATAGAATTTAATGCATTTTCATCATATATATATATATATATATATATATATATATATATATATATATATATATATATATATATATATATATATATATATATATATAATTATTATTTTTATTTATTTATTTTTTTCATCATAATATTTCATATGTATATCATATGTTTTGTATAACTTCATGAGAAATTCACTGGAATTTCACAACAGCAGAGTTGACATAATCTACTATTGGTTTATCATATATGTTTTAGCAATACAAACATAAAAACAAAAGAAAACAAAAAAAATATTAAAAAAGGAGTTATGAATAACAATGGAATGACACAAGGAGAAAGTACTGAAATGTATTTTATATAAAACTTTTTTAATGATGGCAGCTTAAAGGGACCTCTCATGCATTGCATGCATTGCTCAGGTGTGAGTTTTTCATAGACTTCAACAGAGTGTAAAAATCTTGATTCTTCTGTGGGTCTCGTCTATCAAATTTGATCTTTATTTAGTATTCTCTATTGGATTAAAGTCAGGTGATTGGCTGGGCCATTCCACAGCTTGATTTTCTTTGAATACTTATTTCCCCCACTGTATGTGTATAATATATATTTTTTTCTAATATTCACAACAAAATGTACTCTTGGTGGGATGACAGTAGGAAAACACCATTTGAAACCTCTTTGCTTAACAAAAACTCTAACACTGGTTATTTCACGGCTTTGCAAGCTCTGTTATTTCCTTAAATAAATGTGAGTTTTCTCAATGACACCTTTTGTTCTCACTGCATCCCGTTGTTTTCAGATGCAAATTCGCTCTTTTGTTTTATGCATGTGCTTGTGTATGTGGATCTCTTTATTTTCCTTCTGTGCGTGTGCATGTAGGAGCTGGAGGACCGTCTGAAACAGGAACAGAGGGAAGAGTTGCACGCTTTGAGAGAAGCCCACAGACAGACTCTGGATATACTCCAACAGCAATCGGACCAGGAGCTGCAGACGCTGCGCTTTGAGCTGGAAGATGAAGGCAAAGCCATGCTGGGTGAGTCATTCGCTCACATTAACTCCGGCCTACGAGATTACAGCCTTTATGCGGTCATTAAAGTCTTGTAGTGTATTCATATGCACTGTTATCATGTAAGTAAACAGTCATTTTCACTGCCACTTTTATCCTAAAGCGACTCACAGAGCACTTATTACAAAGGAGATCTTTTTTTTTGCTGAAGGGTTTGATGATAATAGTTCAAAGATCAGTTGCTGCAGGGATTTAAACCTACAACCTTTTGGTCACTACCCTAGAGCTGTTACGGCTTTAATTAGGCGCTTAGTAGGATCTTAAAGGGATAATTCACACACAACAAATGTAAATTCTATCATCATGTTCTCATTCTCCACTTGGTCCAAACCTGTTTGAGGCCATGTCCACACTAACACGCTTCCATTTAAAAACACATATTTTTCTCTCTGTTTTGGCTGTCCATCCATACTCAAGCCCTGTTTACACTAATACATTTTAGTTTTAAAACGGAGTTTCTGAACAGATCTCCGTCCTCACTACACCTCTGAAAACACACATCATGTGACCACACACATACTCTTGCATGTGCTGCAGCATATGTGCACGTCTGAGCTCCAGGCAGTCAGCGGGTGCTTTGAGCACACCTCCCCGGGTGAGAGCAGCGCAGGTCAGACAGTTCATCAAGAATCTTTCAATGAATTTCATCTCACTATAGTTGTTAAACGTAATATTTAATTAATCTTGTCTATATCTAATGATCTTTTTAATTGTATTACTTGTTCTCAGTTAATGTGTTTTGGCTGAGCGCAAAGATAAGTTATATTAATTTATGTAACTTTGTACACTGATTCTGCAAATTGACTGATTGCTTGCCTTTATTTCCTATATTGTATAAACCTTTTGTACTTTACACTTTTATAATGGCCATTATTGATTATTAAAACTGAAATTCAGCAAAAGAGACAGGGTATGTTTCATATTTTTCAATGAAAATGAAAGGAGGCAGTAATGTTGTAGGCTCCGTTCTGTTATAAATATGCATACAAGGAAGATGATGGTCATATAAATATGTAGCAACACGACGCCTCAACATTTCTTCCGTCTGTTAAGTTGTTAATATCAAAATAAAAATAGGCAGTTACTTAAATCATGTTTTCATTTTATTGCTAAGATTAAGTGAAACAACATAGCAAGGGTGATGCAAATGAGGTTATAAAGTAGCCTACGCTGCTTTTACCCGACTTGTCCTTGGAAGTTTGTTTTCTATTTCAAACTTGCGCAGTCTGAACTTATAAAGAGGATGCAAGACTGAAATTTGTGCACTTGATATTTGGGAAAAAGCCCCAATCAGATGCGAATGTCTGCAGCCACGCCTCTGTTTTCAGATGTCTCTGTTTTCCCCAATCCACACAAACACGAAGCAGCAGCATTTTCAAAAATCTCTGTTTTCAGGGCTTGAAAACTCCTGGGTAGTGTGGAAAGAAGGCAATACTGTAGCAAAACTTATGCGTAAAACATATTAGTGTAAACAGGGCCTAAGATGCCGTTTGGCCTTAGCCTAATAATACATTTTTAAGTAACAATTTAAAGTAGTACACTTAAAAATGTTTGACTAATATGTAGGTTTGTGTACAATTTTCCTGTATTGCATAGACAGGCATAGCCATTTGAGTTATGAATGAGCCAAATAGACTCAACACACTTGTTTTCTGTAATAAAAAACACTTTCCATGTGTTCTAAATACATTTTCCATGTATTAAATAAATAAAACTGCCACTTTTCTAATTCAAAATGCCATAAATATAAACACATTTAAAAAATAAACAAAATGTGCAGATTTTATTTTATATATATATATATATATATATATATATATATATATATATATATATATATATATATATATATACTAAATATATGTAAATTAGTATATAAATATACTAATTTACATATTTCACAATCATAATATAAGACATAATAGGAAATAATTTTAAATACAATAAAACACATGATGTTTCACTGTGATGTCACTCTGATATGCAAATAAAATGAGTGGTTCGGTCACTGTTTAATCCTGTGCATGAATGTATGGTATAGTTAATGCCACATGCACTTTAGGGTTTTCTATTCATAGTTAATTCATTCATTCATTCATTCATTTTTTTTTTCGACTTAGTCCCTTTATTCATCAGGACTCACCACAGTGGAGTGAACCGCCAACTTTTCCAGCATAGTACAAGTGCAAGTGATATATGTGTTTTTCGAAAATGATGACGCATTTTAGTCATGTGACGCAATCATGTGACCAATTCAGCTAATAGGGTGGACAACATTGTAAAGCAGATGTTTTGGATGTTGTCTATTTTGAAAGCTTTATTAAAGATTAATGTCAGTGTGTAAATGCTCCACATTTCCTCTCTTCAAAGGACATAGAATGTGAGCTATTGTTTCTTCGACATTTTGCTGCAATGTTTCAAAGAGACGGAAAGTAAATAAATGGAAGGCAGATAGGATGCAGGTACAGGCATCTTACATCTGTGTGTATGTGCAGTACTGACCAAAAGCATTTTCAGTCATTTTAGTGTAGATGACAGAAAGAATTAAAACGATAATGTGGAAATGGAGCGGTTTTTAAGATGAAAAAACGAACAATTTGGAACAATTTGAGTGAGAGTAAATAGTGAGTAAATTATTTTCATTTTTTTGCATGAACGATCACTTTAATGCAAGAAACTAAGTGTGTTGAAGTATTTGGTTTGTACGACGACTATAATACTGGTCTTTTTTGCGGGATATTATAATATTTTTGTTCCATTTAAAATGATGTGATTTATTAAAATAGATCTGCATTTAATAACCTGAAAACAAGCTTCACTCTAAAACCAATAACATTTTTTTATTAACATATTTAATAACATTTTTTTATTTGCCTGTCACATCGCTTGAGGAGTTACTGATTAATGATCAAATTAAGACATAAATATTCATTTGCACTATATTGTTTGTTTGTAGCTTCTCTGCGGTCGGAGCTCAATCATCTCCACGCCACTGCCATTGAACACCTCAGACAAGTCCACTTGAAGGAGAACAACGCTGCCAAACGAGAGCTGGACGACACCATTGATCGCTGCAAAGAACATGTGAGTCTTTCCTTTTCACTATACAAACCTGGTTATGAATGTAGTCTCTTTGTTACATTTTTAGATGTTTTTGTCTTTGTTACTCTTTGTTAGAGAGATATTTGATTCAGTTTTGCTCTGGCTTTCATTTGCATCTGGTTACTGGTGATGCCTCAAATTTCTCTATTTGCATTTAGTAAGAAGCTTTTCAGATAAGGACATTTATTTGAGCCTAAACAAAACTACAAAGGCTGCAAAACATGATATACATCACTGTTATCTTGAAGTTTCAGCCACAGAGCATTTTTATTTTTTCGTTTGAACAGCTAAAACTTTGAATTTTTGTACTACAAATGGAAAACATATAATATTTTAACATGTTTAGCAAACTTATTGAGAAAATGTAATATATTAATGCATCCCTAGAAATAAGTGAAGTTTATTTATAAGCTAATTTCAAGGGGATCACGTGCTTATGATTGATCATGACTGGTCCCACATTAATTATCTCATGATTTTCAGATGAATCCAAAACATATATAAATAACCCGATTTCTTTACCTTAGTCATCTTCGCTCTGAAGAATCCCTCATCCACCCCACTTCTTCCCCCTCTTTCCTAGCATAATTCAGGGTAGGGTGGCATGGTGGCTCAGTGGTTAGCACTGTTGGCTCACAGCAAGAAGATCACTGGTTCGAGTGCTGGCTGGGCCAGTTGGCATTTCTGTGTGGAGTTTGCTTGTTGCATGTTCTCCCTGTGCTCGAGTGGGTTTCCTTCAGGTGCTTCGGTTTCCCCCACAGTCTAAAGACATGCCCTATAGTTGAATTGAATAAACTAAATTGGCCATAGTATACTTTTTGGTGTTTCTTAGTATTGTGTTGCGGGTGGGAGGGCATCCGCTGCATAAAACATATGATGGAATAGTTGGTGGTTCATTCTGCTATTGCAACCCCCGATAAACAAAGGAATCAGCTGGAGGAATATGAATACATGAATGAATTCGAGGGAGATCTTGAGATTTGCATTTGTGTTTTATGTGTATGCTAATCCAAAGAGATATGTCTTTAATCTAGTTTTGAATTGACAGAGTGTGTCTGCTTCCTGAACTGTGCTAGGAAGGCTGTTCTATAGTTAGGTGCCAGATATGAGAAAGATCTACCGCCTACAATTGATATACTGGTAATAATTGTTGTCAAGAATTAATTGAGCATAGTGGACGTAAGTGGCTATAATACACCAGGAGCCTCCACAAGTAACGGGGAGCTAAGCCGTTCAGGGCTTTGTAGGTAGTCAATAATTTTTTTTAAATTATTATGATATTTAATAGGGAGCCAATGCAACGATGAAAGAAGTGGAGTAATGCAATCATATTTCTTTGTTCTAGAAAGCACTCTAGCAGTTGCATTTTGAACTAGCTGACATCACCTACACCTCATTAAATCTGTTTAAATCTGTCCTTACATTGTCATCATTTGAGTCCATCATTATCTGGATCTCAACATCTTGCAAAATGTATTCTTTATATGTTAAAAGAGGAAGGAAAGTCATACATTTTTGGAATGACATAAAGATGAAAATAATCTTAGTTTTTTTTTTTTTTGTATAAATTATCTCTTAAAATTTGTCATATTATTCTTTTTTTTTTTACAAGATTTAATATAATTTTTTAGGTGTATAATTGCTATAAAGTTTTAGCCCTAAAATCTCATAAATCATTTATCCCACCATGATGTGAATGCCCTTTTTTGACCATGCCATCTCTTTAAATGCAAATGAGCTGCTGACCCCTCCCCCTTTCCATAAGAGTGCGGTCCTTTTTCAACATTGATAAACCATAGATCTTTTTATCCTCAAACCAAAGGTGAAAATAGGACCTCTTTAAATATGACAATAAGAATATACATTTTCCATAAACATGACCACTTATAGATACCCAGAATCTCTCAGTTTGATGTACATCTATTTATGCTGAGGGCCAGGAATTTGCTTGCTGTCTGAATAAAAGCAGATGCCACTTTGGTGCCCACAGTTATGGTTTAGTCACAATAAAGAGACTTGAGTCTGAATGGGAGGTGAAGCGAAGTGTCAGGCCAATATAAAAATGTCTCCGAGCTAAGCTGCACTTTAGAGAAATTTGAAGAATAACCTCGATGAATAAAGTATGAGGTAGTGAATTGTGAATTATGGGAGAGCTCTTACCGTGACTTACACCCCTTTCCCATTTTTCATATTTGATTTATAATCTCCCTCTCTGTCTGTCTGGGCTAATACACACTGGCGGTCTCACTCTCTCATGTTCGTTTCACTTCAGTTAATACTTCAGCACAATTGAATCTCTTTTAATGTGACCTATATGCATATTTTGAAAGCCCTTGGCACAAAATCTTCTAATGCTTTTTTAAGCGAATCATTCCAAGGCGATGAAATTATGAAAACTGCATCAGCTGCGTTGTTTGTGCACACAGTCATCCATCTGTTTGAGTCGATATCTCCAATATTTTGCTGGTTTGCCGTGCGCAGGAGCAGGACCTTTTGGGTCGTATCTCTGACCTGAGGCAGGAGGTGAGCTGCAGGAAGAACCGCATCGCTGATCTGGACCATGAAATCCACTCGCTCAATGAGACCATCAGCACACTAACCAAGGAGCTGGAGCTCAAAGGGAAAGAAGTTCTGCGGGTGCGCAGTGAAGCCAACCTGCAGATCAGGTACTGACTAATCAATGCCTTATGAGGATATACAGTTCAATTCAAAATGATTCGCCCTCCTGTACATTTTGTCTTTTTTTAAATATTTACCAAACAAGCAAGGATTTTTCACAGTAATTCCTATAATAATATTTCTTCTGGATAAAATTTTATTGGTTTTATTTAGGCTAGAAGAAAAACAGATATGCGCCGATTTCAATTATTTTGATTTCTGATATTTTTTTAGATTTATGACCTGTCGATTTTTGCTAATTGTGATTTTCTTTCTAAGAACTGTAATGCACGTAATGTACAAATGTATGTTTTCCTTAATAATAGAACCCTAATTTATAAGAGCTTTACTTAAAATTGATTTGAAATTAGTTTGAAAAATCTTAATTTAAGAAAAATATTATTAAAGTAAACATAGAGTAGGGCCGGCGTGGTGGCAAAGTGGGTAGCGCTGATGCCTCACAGCAAGAAGGTCACTGGTTAGAGCCTCAACTGGGTCAGTTGGCATTTCTGTGTGGAGTTTGCATGCTCTCCCCATGTTTGCATGGGTTTCCATTGGGTGTTCCATTTTCCCATGCACTGTAGGTAAATTGGGTATGCTAAATTGATCGTAGTGTATGGGTGTTTCCCAGTGACGGGTTGCACTTGCAGCTGGAAGGGGATCCGCTGCGTAAAACATATTCTAGATAAGTAGGCCATTTAATTTATTGTGGCGTTCCCTGATTAATAAAGGGACTAAGGCGAAAAGAAAATAAATGAATGAATGAATAAATAGAGCATCTCTATGACATCATTGCCTGCGCACCAGCTGCTGCCAATATGGACTGGCTGTTTACTGGTCGCACCGATTCTGAGGCAAAACTATATGAAAGAAGGCAAAACTATATAAAAACTACTGAAAACGACTAAAACATAACTAAAGTTAAAATTAAAAGTGAAAAATTGACAACAAATTAGTAAAAGTTAGTATACTGTATTTTAATTAATATACTCACTGTGCTACTAAAATAATTTATGATTAAGTATTCAATAACACTTCTAAAATCAGTCAATCTTTACAATCACATCATAATTTTAGGCAGTATACAGCAAAGGTTTTCAAAAGTTCCGTCTATAGATACAAGTATATAGATAGATTATAAATGTTTAAAAACATTAATAAAAAAACAAATTATTCAATTAATTGAATGAAAATTGAAAACTGACAATAAGTTAAGACTATTAGTAAAAGCTATTATATTATACTGCAGTTTAATGTGCTACTAAAATAACTCATGACTACATATTAAAAATCATTAAGATCAAATACCAAGGTGATATATGTAGATATATCTAAAACAACCACTGAAATGACAAAAACAAATAAAGAAATAAATATGTTAAAATAAAAACCTAATTAAATAAAATTATTTCTAAGTCTATAATAATATTACAATATATTAAAGTTTTAATCATTACCAGCTCACCTAAAATAAGTAAAACTGGGACCTTCCTATTTTTGGAAGTGGTGTTAATGAGGCCAGCAGGAAGCACTCAACCTGCAGTCTTTGTGAGTCTTTATGCCCCAGTAGTGAAGGGACACTTTCATTCAGCACTGTCATTCAGATTAAACTGAGGTCCTGACTCTCTGGGGTCATTAAAAATCCCATAGCACTTCTCGTAAAAAGTAAGGGTGTAACCTGGCCAAAATTTCCAAATGTCCTGGCCAAATTCCCTCAATCGGCTCTTACCCATCATAGCCTCCCAATCATCCTCTTCCATAGAATTGGCTCTGTCACTGTCTCTACACTCCTTCTATAGCTGGTGTGTGGTAAGTGCACTGGTGCCGTTGTCCTGCGGCTGCTGTCGCTTCATCCAAGTGGATGCTGCACACTGGTGGTAGTGTGGAGAGACCACCCCATTTATGATTGTGCATCACTTTGGGTGTATGGCCATACACTATATATACGCTATATAAACACATTACATTACATTATTTTTGTATTTCTAGCAGAATTTTAGCCAGTATTCAACACATTTGACTGTTCTCAAATTTCTTTTTTCTTTTTTATTATTGTTAATCGAGCCCTAACCTTGTATCACCCTTTTTTCACTAGCACCTCTTGTTTCTCTTTCAAATAAAATGCCATACAGGAACAGGAAATTGCAGCGCTCATGCTAATGCTTTCATGTTAAGGTTAGAGTACAATCTGTGAACATTACCATCATCCAAGTTTTTGATAGTTTTATTTTATGCCAAAAAAAAGTGCAACAGACATCTTGTGCGTGTGCGGAGTCTTTCATGAGCTACTAAATTATAAATTCCAAAAGGTCAGTCTCGCTGAACTAGAAGCTAATTTAATATGAGAAGAAAGCAGACAGAGCTGTTTCCCACGCAGGAGCCCATCGCCTACAGGCAGAGCTCATCTCAGCCATTTTCCTCTGTTCCAGCGATATATAAATGCTACAAGGTCAGTAGAGGTGTCTAGCAGAGATGCACAAACAAATTTCCTTTGGTTTCATTCAAATGAGGAGCTAATTTCTGGCTCACGAAAATAGATCATGCTCTTTGGGGAACTAAGGGGATTTGTTCTAATAAATAATTTAGGTTGTGTTCCTTGGCTTTATTTCTGTTCTCAGTATTTGCTCTATTTGTTGACACTACAGTCTTTAACAAAAAGTTATAACTGCTGGTTTTCACAGTTATATTATCAGGATCTTTTAGTGGACTGCTCTTAGAAAGAATTCAAAAAGTGCCCCACTAGATGTTTTGGATATTACCTTTTTCTGTTTGTGACGGTTAAAGATCTGCAAAGTTATTTGGCAATTGGTTGGGAATTGTTTGAGTTTTTACAATACCAAATCAATACTTTTACAGTCATACTGGTGCTCACACAGTTAACCATTATTTTTTTAAAAAGACAACATTAGGTAAGGCCACATTTAAGAATTTTTTTTTTAAAGGCATGTCTATGCTATTGGATTGTGCCATGATCTGAAGAATATATATAATTTTTTTTATGTGCCTTTCCAGGGGCTTTGTGACTATTTAGTCACCAATATTAGTTCTAATAGGCGAGGGGTGTCCAAACTTAGTCCTGTTGGGCTGGTGTCCTGCAGATTTTAGATTCAACTTGCCTCAACACACCTGCAAGGATGATTCTAGAAAGCCTAGTAAGAGCTTGATTAGCTAGCCCAGGTGTCTGATTGGGGTTGGAACTAAACTTTGCAGGACATCGGCCCTCCAGGACCGAGTTTGGGCACCCGTGTTATAGCTAGTGAGATTTTTTTGTTCTCCTTACCTCCATCTATCTATTGATTTATTTAATTATTTCTTTATTTTTTGGGGATTAAACAAATTTCTTTGTTATTTTGCCCTTAAAATTCTTGTATTTATTTATTGGGCAGATACTTGGGCTGCATTTACACTGCACAGCTTATGTGACTCAATTCCGATTTTATTTCTCCCATGTGGCACAGATCAGATATGGCTTGTGTACGTGTAAGCAGGAAAAAATCACATGGATTCCAATTTATTCAAATCAGATCAGGCCTTGTTTACATGTGGAAATTTATCGGAAATGAGTTGGATCCGTGTCCTCGTGTCTGCAGTGTAAGCAGTTAGATCGAATTCTTACCTGTCAATGCCAGTCGCACGTCATTAAAAACCATAGCGAATGACATCAAGCCTGACGCTTTCATTTCAGAACAGACTTAAGCAGAGTCGCAAACCTTAAATCTCATACACGAGGACTAAAAAAGCTTTTGTGAAAAAAAGGACTAAAAAAGCTACACGAGGACTAAAAAAGCTTTTGTCATGTAGCACAAGAATAAAGATGTTAACAAGAGAGTGAGAGAGCGCGATATCCGCCACGTAAACATAAACTAATATAGAACATTTGCATACATCACGTGCATAAATCATGCCATGGAAATGACATTAAGAGGCTACTGGTTTAAAAAGGCCTAGATTAAAAGAAGATGGCCAAATGAGAACTTTTCTGTCGTAAACTATAGTAAAACAGCTTGTCAAGAAGAGTAAAACAAACAAACCCTAGAAACAGATTAATAACAGGAATGAAGAAAAGAGCGCTCTTTTATTATCAGCTGATAGTCAGTGCCCGCTCTTTTTTCCCTAATTTGGAGGCCGTTGCCTTTCATAAAAGCCACTTCTGATACCAAACGATCAACTAGAAGTTATTGTCAAGTTAGTCAAGTTATTTGTTCCTCTTAAAACATGTATAGGCGACAAGACTTTTATCAGTTAGTGTATAACCTATTGTACATTCTTTGTAAATCTTGCCTCTGGTATATCTCAGAAAACACATCGTACATTCATTTTGATAACTTTAAACTGGCTAGGTTAACTAGTTGAATAAGGTTAACTTGGCAAGTTAGGATACCTAGGAAAGTAGTTACAATTTTACATTGGGCAAAAACATACATAGGTTTAGTCATGATCTATGAAATAACCATTTAGTTCAGCGCTACCACCTTGTGGACAAACTGAGTACTGTAATGAGGACTCAGAGCACATGTGTGAGCTGCTTATACATTGTATGCACTAGAGCTGCACAATTAATCGTTAAAAGATCACGATCTCGATTTGACCCCCTTGACGATATTAATCCAGCATTTCTACGATTCTGCCAATCATATTTTCAAGTTCAGGAGAGAAGTAAAGGCGGCTGCACGAGTCTTTTCATTGTTTCACACACGTTGCTCAGTGACATTGACACCTCCAAATGATGTTAAATCAGTCACATACTGTATTTATAAGGTAAAATTCACCAAAAAAATGCCATTTTTGTCTTAATATAATGATATTTAAGCGATCGGGAAATCACACGTGACGTAAGCTGCTGACCGTGAGCTGTTATCACAGAGAAGCGCGCGCTCTACTTAATGATAGACGCGCGCGTGTCTACTTTAGTGAACAGAACCTGCATATGTTGCGAGTAACAGGTAATACAGTTGTAAATAATATTCAGTTTGTGGCACAGAGTGATCGTTTGGGAGCCGCGCGCGAAGTATGAACAAGCACTTAGCAGTCAGAATGAAACCGAAAGTGTGCACTTCATTTAAATGATCGTATTGCATTTTAGAGTTATGATTACGACAAGCATTTATATGTTTTTTCTTTCATAGCTAACCCACAGTTGTGCATGAAAATAAATGTTTACAATGTCAGTATAACTACTCTAGCCTATATATTGTTGAATATAATCTGATAATGGTAATGTCTGATTTTATCAGTGAATAAAATTGTCTAATATGACAGATTGCAAGCATATATCTCAAACATAATAATTCAACATAGAATTAGTAAGTAGAATAGAATTATTTATAGAAACCGGTAGACCTACACATAATATTATTATCGATGTTGTGCCATATGTTTGTTTTTACCATACCTTTATTTTACATCCACAGAATCGTGAGAGAATCATGATCTTTATTTTAAGTAAAAAAATCGGTATTCTTATTTTAGCCAGAATCGTGCAGCTCTAGTATGCACAACACGAAAAAGAGGCCTACATGAACCTCAAACATTTGCATGATGTAAATGATTTTTAGTGTTGAGCAAAAACCAATACACAAGCCAAATTCATGTTTCATGCTTTTTTAAAGGATGTTAAACTAGCATAATAGCAATTACTCTGTAGATTCTTATAAGCAGAGTAAATCTAAGAACAAACTGTTTTGCACATGCTAAAAGGTTTTTTTTTTTCACATAGGGCTCGTGAACAGGATCTTTCCAAGCGCCTCGAGAGGGAGATTGACGAGCTGAACGCTTCACATAACAGAGAGACCCAGATCATGCTGTCAGATTTTAACAAAGCTCAGGAGCTGCTAAAAGACAAGATCTCAGCTCTGCAGATTCTGTGAGTGCCTTTATCTCAGTTACAGATTAAATATCACATTGAATTGAGTATCAAGACACATCGTTTTAATATAATATCCTTGTGAATATTTTAGAAGGAAAATTAGCTTGATGAATCACATTAGCTCAGTTGCGAAACCATGTGAGCTGCCTTTCTGTCTGCTAGAGTACAAGTATGCATTAGTTTTCGGAGGCTAAAACGGTACACCAAACATAATTGCTTCTCTTGAGATCACTCCATACATGAAGTTCAAAGTATTTTGTTGATGTTTATTATTGAGCCACTAATCTTAGCAGCATACAATTTAGAAAAAAATAAAGGATACTTTTAATTGGGATGCAATACATTGGATCACTTTTGTCCACAAATGAGAATTTTTAATGCAAAATGTTAGCATGTCAAACATTTAAATACTTAAAACACAGCTTCGGAAAGATTAAGAGACCAAATCAAGATAGATACAAAATAGATACAAGTGTCCATGTGTATGTTGTAAAAATGTCTGAAAAGAAAGATCATTTAAAGCATTCATTTCCAGAAATTTATCACACTCAATGAACATTTCTTTTTTTGTGATCAAATTTGTATTAAACAGCTGGAAATAATTTAGCATACATTGTTATAGATGAGGATTGCAACCAACTGCAGGCTAATGATTAATAATCCTGCAGCCCACCCACCCCAGACAAAAAGATATATATATCAATAATTAAACAAAAAAGAAAACAAATCAGAGCCAAAAACGAGAGAGAAAAATAATAACAATAATAATAATAACAATAATAATAATAAAAAAAGAAAAATGTTACAATACATGTAAATAAATAACTAAAGTAAATAAATAAGTAGACAAAAATGTAAGTACATTTGACACATAGGTTAAATAATATGAAAAAAATCACAATAGCACATCTTTTATCTTAGTCATTGCACATATCCATGTGTTAATAGTTTTTATGGAAGCGCCATGCATCCTTGCCAGAGACAGTTCCATATTTGCAAAGTCCAAGAACATATACATCCAGTGTTTCCGGTCCAGGGAGTGTGGAGGCTGCCAAGATAAAACTATTTGTTTAGCTGCTGTTAAATCAGAACATACATTTTTTTCTGAAATAAAGAAAAGTCAAAAGAGGAATCATCATTTAAAAGAAAAAGCTTAGGACAACATGATCTGTCTGATTCCAGTATATCCTTCAAGGTCAGTGACACATTTTCGTCAAAAGTTATTCACTTCTGGACATTCCTAAAACATGTTTGTACTATATATCCTATTACATCCTCTGAGCATAAATTACAATTGGGAGATGATGTTAGTTTTATTAAGTGACGACTCATTGAACATTTCTTAATAAAAAATATATATACTCTCACCGGCCACTTTATTAAGTACACCTTAGTAGTACTTGGTTGGTGCACCTTTTGCCTTAAGAACTGCCTTAATTATTCGTGGCAAAGATTCAACAAGGTACTGTAAATATTTCTTAGAGATTTTGGTCCATATTGATAACATCAAGCAGTTGCTGCAGATTTGTCGGCTGCACAGCCATGATGTGAGTCTCCAGTTCCACCACATGCCAAAGGTGCTCTATTGGATTGAGATCTGATCATTTGAGTACAGTAACTCATCAAAAAAGCAGTCTGAGATTCACGCTTTATGACATGCTGTGTTACCCTGCTGGAAGTAGCCATCAGAAGATGGGTACACTGTGTTCTTAAGGGATGAACATGGTCAGCAACTATACTTGGGTAGGCTTTGGCATTGACACAATGCTCAATTGGTACTAATGGGCCCAGAGTGTGCCTCGAAAATATCCCCCACACCATTACACCAATACCAACAGCCTGAACCGTTCATACAAGGCAGGATGGATCCATGCTTTCATGTTGTTGATGCCAAATTCTGACCCTACCATTCGAGTGTTGCAGCAGAAATCAAGACTCATCAGACCAGACAACCTATTTCCAATTTTCTAATTAACGTTTTTCAATCTGTCTAATTTTGGTGAGCCTTTACAAATTGTGGCCTCAGTTTTTACCCGGTTTGGTCTGCTGCTGTAACCCATATGCCTCAAGGCTTGACGTGTTTTGCATTCAGAGATGCTCTTCTGCATACCTCAGTTTTAACGAGTGGTTATTTGAGTTACTGTTGCCTTTCTATCAGCTGGAACCAGTCTGGCCATTCTCCTCTGACCTCTAGCATCAACCAGGCAAAGTGCATGAAAATCCCAGTAGATCAGCAGTTTCTGAAATACTCAGACCAGCCCGTCTGGCACCAACAACCATGCCACGTTCAAAGTCACTTAAATCACCTTTCTTACCCATTCTGATGCTCGGTTTGAACTGCAGCAGATCGTCTTGACCATGTCTACATGCCTAAATGCATTGAGTTGCTGCCTAATAAAGTGGCAGGTAAGTGTATATTTCACAATGAATTGACAAAAAAAATGTTTAATGTTAAAAGCACAGCTTATTTTGCATTATTTATTTTTGGAAAGTACTTGTATTTTGTCCATGCAATAACATCTTAGACTAAGTGATCAAACTAGATTAAGTATATCAGTTAAAATAGTCAACCAAGCCTACTGACTGCTAGTCGGCATGTAGTTGCAGCTACAAATAGTTAACAATGTCTACAGGAGACCATCAAATTAAAGTGTTGTCAGATAAAAGCTATAAATAACACTCTACTTAAACATGTTGGCAGCTTGCTTGGTTTTGTGACGGAGCTATTGTTTTTACTGCAGTATAATGGTTGATGTCTATGTGTGGGGTGTGAGTAGGTTGGAAGGTACGGAGGAGAAGTTCAGGAATAGAGAAAGCCGTCCGGAGGACCTCCAGGTCATTGCAGATCTCAGAGAGATGGTGTCAGAGAGAGAAACCTTGGTCAAGAAGCTTGTGGTAAGTATATACAGCAATGGGCCATAGAGGTACAGCAAGCTGTTAAAAGTTTGCGTATACTATTGTAATTCTACATAAGTTTTTTTTTTTTTGCCCTAAAGCATTACACATTTTTAGACAAAAGTCAATATCAGTTCATTGATTTTTCTGCACAGGGCCTTTCGGTCTGACTGTGACTCCTTTGTTCCAGGATGACAAGAAGTTTTATCAACTGGAGCTGGTGAATCGAGAACCTGGCTTCAACAAGGTGTTCAACACCAATCCCAATGTCGGGGTCATAAACCCCCTTATAAAGGTTAGAGAGACACAGCCACACTGATCAAAGAGTACCTCTGAAGTCCACGTAAATTGGATTGATCTGATAGTGAAACCCGTAAACCTTTTTAAAAGCGCTCCATCTGTACAGTTTCATGGAATCCATGAATATATAATAAAAGAACACTTCAAAGGTTATGCCTTATGGGAAGAGTGAGGTACTACTGGAATGGGATGTTATTTATAGTCTTCTACTGTCCTTTTAGTTGGTCTGAGTTTTGCTTTGTGTTGCGTAAGTTGTGTTTGTACGTTTTTCATTGTCTGTGTCTTATATCCATGTTCAAACATCAACTTCTACCTTACTTTCTAAGTCATAAGTTCTGTTGCAAAACCTAATGTGCTGCGTGTCCATCCTGACCAAGAATAAACTTTCATTCATATTTCTTCAAATTTCAGCTTGAGATGCATTATTATTGATATCAAATTTGACATTAGTAGTGTTGCCTGATAATAGACATAAATAGTCAATTTAAAATGTAAATAAACTGTTCTATTTTTAATATTATTAGTGCTTTGTCTAAAAATATGTTTCACCCTTTACACCATCTTTTATTTATTTTTTTATTTAGTTTCACACATTTTGTGTGTTTTCTAGCTAATATTCAAATAGGTAATGATTCGCACTCATCAAGTAATTGCTTCGTACTGTATTTATTTTTTCTTCTTGCATTCTTCGGGTCATTTAAAGACACAAACGTTTTGGCACAATGCCTTCCTCAGTGTGACTTCTCTAGCTAATCAACATTGATCATTGCTAGTGTGATGCTTACTTTTTGTACTTTTTTGAGATCTTAACAGATTTATGTGTGTTAAACATCTATTAGGACACTATTAACATCTGTTAGCTTTGATTGTGGGAAACACTGAATAATTTTGAGCTTTTGTCAGCTAGTTTCATCTTCTGGGTTTAAAATCATTATTGGGGCAGGATCAAAATCGTCATGTCTGCTCTGTGCTGCGTCTGTCTGGGCTGAAACACTGTGGTAATTCAGCTGATATTAACAACAAAGCATACTTCATTCACCCCAAAGGAAATCATATTTACAATGTCTCTATCTATATATAGTACTGTTCACCAATTAAATATGTGTTAGAATAAATACTATGCGTAAGATATTTAATTTCAATGTTATTTTTTGATTTGCTGTGCAGCACCTGCGCGGGACAGCACAGACCAAAACATGTATCAGACCCATTTGAACAAAGCAGGATGTTGTATTTTAGATTAGAGAAACTTAGTGAGTCAGACTCAGCATTACTATTATAAAAAAAAATTGTTATACTATTATCACACTACTACAGATGTTTTCAGTCATATGAGCTGTGCGGAGACCTGGTGGGCAAAAAATTTCATCTCATGGCCTTAATGGCAGCTACACTGAGATCTCCATAGAAAAGCAGCATAAACCGGTCAAATTTCCATCTTTTTCAAGCTACAAATATTTGGATCACAAATCAACAGAACAGAATCGAAATATGATAACAAACTGTAAATTGTAAACACTTACAATCGATATACTGCACCCGCAACCCGCAAAAAGAAAACGTCTATTTCTGAAGTCTTGGAAGCAGACAATTACATGGGTACAAAATTAGGAAACAAAAAAGAACAAAAAAAAAAAAGAATTGTCATCAGTTTGACATGTAATTTTTGACAAACATAATTTAGAATTGCAATAAAATACCAGCACATTTTCCATACTGCTCTTTCGTTTGTATAAAATCTTGAATTTTGTTTTTTACATTTATTAACAATTTTAAAATGTTTAAATTCTAGATTAACAGACATAATTTTGCCACATTATTTAAAATATGTGACTAAGAAATAGCTATTAACTTTTTTTTTTTTTTTGGTGGGGCCAGTGAAAACTTTGGCAGGGCAAGTAAAAATCTCAACCACTGGCTTGATCGGCCCAGTAGAAAAAATCCTTAGCGTTGAACCCTGTTTGGTATCGGTTTATTTTACTTAGATTAATATTTGCTGGTAGGAAAAATCTTTACATTCACTTCTGCCATTTATTCTTTTACTTTAAATTTTAGTTTGTATTTTAACTGCACTTAATAATCAACTTAAAATAGTAACTTTATAAAAAGCATACAAATGCACTGACATTTATAGGTAACATGGATTGTTATGGGTCAATGGAGCTACCATTCGGCCAAATCCATAAATTTCTCCTTTCTGGTTGTTCTTTCTCTGAAGGATTTCTGTTAAAGCACAGCTCAGGTGTGTCTCCTTGTCGGTTAGTAACGCTAAACCTTATTGTACAACAATTATCCGGCTTTTTGCCTAAAAACGAGAATTTATGCAACCTGTTACTTGGCGGCCAGCATGAGATAGCAATGTTTTGCCTGCCAGGGGGGGGCGTTCCCCTAACGGTGTGACGACACATAAAAACTAGCAATAGACTGTGGCTGTCCTGAGTCTGATATGCTTTAGTTTGACAGCTCTGACTGGCAGAGTAGTGATATAAACAAAACCCTATTGGCTGTTATTAAAAAGGGGGAGGAGCTACATTATGCCTACCCCACCTTGTCTTCCTATTTTGGTTGAGATTACGTCAAACATTGAATAAAAGTGCACATTTCAAAAGACTTCACAGACCTTCAAACACGTGTTATTACCAAATGGAAACATGCACTAGATTTTGTAACAGAGCTACAATCTGTCATTTCTATTTTCCTGTCCTCATTGTTCATCATTACCTTGTCATCGTTTAGCTTGAAGCTGCAGTTGGCCATCACCTTCCCACAATCCCTTTCTGTGTGTGTCCTTTTAATGTAGCATAAGAGTAGAAAGCCTGCGAACAGTTTCGCCAGCTCTCCGAGCCTAAGCATTGTTGCGGCTGAAGGGATGTCGGGCAGCTCCATTCCGCCTGCTTGCCTTGAGTCTGTCCCCAACTCCCCCATTCACCAACATCAGCTCAGGTCTAACAAACCTCCGTCCCCGCAAACCCCTCCGCCTCAGGCCAACTCCACCCGGAGGTGAGATTGTCCAAGACATCCTGAGACACGCTTAAACCACAGAACTGTCTTGCCATTGGTCGGATCACATCGTCTCAGTCCTGGTTGATAAGCAGTCAGTCTGTCTGTTGATTGGACGTTTTATACAAGAACACGGCCATGTGTGTCCAGAATAAAATGTTGGTATGCTCGTCTCGCACTTGAATGCATCTTGCAGGTGAACGGCACACATTATACTGTTTGTATTTCATGCTACCTTGATATGCATGACAAACTGTACGTACTGTACCAGTGTCCTTATTGTGTAGAGTCTGACAAGAATACAATCACAAACTGAACTGAAAGTTCACATACACTGTGTGATTAAACGATGGCATCGGAATGCCAAAGCGAGCATGCATCACATGTCATCACTCACAAGTTTGGCTCCGCCCATTAACCAGACTCCACCCTTTCACATTTCATGCATTTATTGTTTTGTGGCTTTATTTAAAAGACGGGTGCTATTTCTGGTATTTCTTCCTTCTATGTTCCAAGATGCACAGTTCTGAGATGGTAGATAATATTAGATGCTTTCTGGAGTAGCGGCATATTTTATTTATCATTTAAAAGGAAATACTTCAGCATGGGGCCTGGGATTCATTTGATGCTTGAACAAGGAGGGTAGCTGCTTATTGGTCAAGAGACACTGCAGAAGATGCACATGTCAAATTTTAGGATGTCTGTTGACTTGATGTACTGTAGTAATGACTAGCATAGAAAAGTAACACACAGTGGCCACAAAAAGTATTTCGACACATATGAATTGCATGTGTAACTCTGTCTGTGATTCACAATGTCTAATGTAAATGTCAAAATATCTTCTCTGAAATGGTGTATGGGTATACTTCTACTTAAAAATAATAGTACTAATTAAGAAAAAGCAAAATCTTGATTTGTTACAAAAAGATTTGCTTTAGAAGCCTCTGTGAAACAGGTCATTAGGGTTGCATTTCCAACACTTGAGCTGTGTCCGAAATCGCATACTTCCATACTATATACGTAGTATGCTAAAAACAGAATGCGAGCCAAGTAGTATGTCCAAATTTATAGTATTTGAAAAGCAATATGTGCGTGCCAAGTCACTTTTCTAAGCTATTTTGTAGTGTAAATTGTGTAAGTAGTACATTCACTCTGAAAACTCTTAAATATCCGGATGATGCACTTATTCAACTGTTAAAAAGAAGTGTGGTATGATGGACACTTTATGCACTCAACGGCCGCTGCTTTTCCCATGTAGCGGAATGGGCGGCGCTTTCGAGCACTGAGGTTGGATTACTTTATTTATTGTGGATTGTAAAAAGTAAAATTCTCCTACAAGAGTGATTATCGCACCTCCTAGTGGTGAATGTGGTTATACTCATGGCAGGTATTATTTGGTAGTTTGGACATTTATTTTACTAATTTGGGACCCATCAAACGTAATCTGGGGAATGGTTTAAATTTCCACTTATTAAAAAAAGGAACGACACTACATACGTATATTATACTGTTGAGTGTATAAGTGCATAAGTACACAGCAAAAATCTCAGAGTAAAATTTACTCAGTTTAAATAGTATTTGGTCCCTTTATAAATTAAGTTACTCAAGATAATGAGACAGTGAAAGGATTAATTAGGTGATTGAGAACTGATGATGAAGACCTGCTCTTAATAAACAGAAACACAGAAAAGAAACAGAAAACGACTTCAGTCACAGCCTTAGATGAAATCTGCTGAGATATAGTACATTAAATCTCTTAGCAGAAGACCATTAAGCAACCTTATTTAAAGAGGGACCAAATACTCTCTGAACTGAGTATATTTTACTTGGAGGAGTTTGCTGTGTACATAGTGGATAAGAGCATAGTGTATAGTGTGCCATTTGGAATGCAGCTAATATGCAAGAAGTACCCGGATGACCTACTACTTCCGGCGAGATTGTGAAGTGACGCAACTAACATTGGTAGGTCACGTGATCAATCAAAATGTCAGATTTTGTACGTCTGAGGTATATTCATTCTGCTGACATTCATACTGTATAGAACGTACTTTTCTAATGGCCAAGTAGTATATTTAAATTAAAATGCAGTACCCACTGAGTAGGCAATTTCGGATACAGCCATCCTCAATGTTTTTAGCCAATCATGGTGCACTCGACTGACTATTCAGAGCATTTTGAGCTTTCAGATGGAGGGGATTTGTAAAAGCTGTGACTCAAACAGGATGTTTCAGAACATCTGAAATGTTGTTTTGGTCATTTTAAAATGCCTTAACTGTTTAAGTATTTGTGTTATCATATTTTAATTACCTCCAGAATAAAGAGCATCTGTACTCCGCATCTTCAAACGCCCCCATGCGTTTATTGCGTGTCGGCATTTTCTTCTAAGGCGCAAGTCATTTAATAAATAAGGAAAAGATTGGCGCAGCTTCTCCTACCGCAGCAAATTCCGTTTTTACTTTTAATATTTGGCGACAGTTAATTAGGAAGTGACGATTTTGTTCTCTTTGACTCGATGGATGGAAACAGTGCATTATTCGCACGTCTTTTATGCGATGTTCCTGTTTTGTGCATACATTTCATTAACATTTTTAGATGGAAACATAGCCAATGAAGGATGAAATGTGTTTTTGAACATTAAAACATTAAACCATTGTAGTCTAGTAAACTCCAATAAACAAAAAAAACGACCTCTTGGAGTTTTGCATCTTTGATTAATCTTTGGTGGTGCTTTATGCAGATATGTAGAGAATATTTTCAGATACTTGTGGAAAGGCCCTTTCTGACGGATTCAGTTCACTTTCATTTGAAATAAGCCTTCGAGAAGCTTCTCCTTCCCACAGAGCACAAAAAATGTGATCTAAAGTTTGAATTTTAAACAGTATGTGCTGCTTTATTATTTAAACCCTGCTTTGTGAGAATTTTTGGTTTAAAAATTGTACTTGCGTGGTCTATATTTCATTCAAAGGTTCATTTTAATCTACTGCAATGACATTCAAAGTGCGGCTTAAGTGTCCACATACTTTTTTGTGGCCACTACACAAAAGTATAGCTATTATTAGATAGTATCACCATGCAGCAAAGTAGCATCTCAATGTGAATGTTTGATTAGGATGTTAAAATTCCCTTTTCTCCGATGTAACTGGTTGTGTTTGACTTCTGTGTTTCATGCAGCCCTCGTAAGACTGGGGATCCAACTGTAGCACCAAAAGAACAGCAACCACAAGAGCTATTTTCACAGTACTTCTCCTTTTAAATTTTTCAAGACACTCAACTCAAGAGCATGTGAAACTGCAGTTTTCAATAGTCCATTCGTCTGTTCTTGATATCTCACTGTGAGTTTGTTATTTTCCCTTTTTGATATGGGCATTTACTTGATTTAAAATGAGATGCACACTCATTTCATATACTATTCATAAATGTATTTTCTGGATGGACTAAAACTGTTGGAATACCAATGTCTTGCCAGTTTTGAAATAAATTGCACAGACACTTACATATATATTTGTACGATGCCGTCTTCTTACCAATTATAATTTATTACAGATGAAAAATAGAATAACTAAGAAAACTACTTCACATTCAGTCATTCATTTTCTTTTCAGCTTAGTGCCTTTATTAATCTGGGGTCACCACAGCGAAATGAACCGCCTAAACTACTTTACAATCATGGTAAAATATAGTTTTAAAATATAGTTTACCCCAAAAATCTAAATCTCAATTTATTTATTCGCCCTCGTGTTGTTTTTATGCAATGTAATTTAATGTAATGTAATGTGTATTCATAAAGCGCATTTATTGTGTATGGCCATACACCCAAAGCACTTCACAATCATGAATGGGGTGGTCTCTCCACACCACCACCAGCATGCAGCATCCACTTGGATGGCTGCCACAGGACAACGGCACCAGAGCGCTCACCACTCACCAGCTATTGATGGAGGGGAGAGACAGTGATAGAGCCAATTCGGTGGAAGGCCATGATTGGGAGGCCATGATCGTAAGGGCCGATAGAGGGATTTTGGCCTGGACACCGGGGTTACACCCCTACTCTTTCGCAAGAAGTGCCATGGGATTTTTAATGATCACAGAGAGTCAGGATCTCAGTTTTAACGTCTCATCTGAAAGACGGCGCTTACTGACAGTGTAGTGTCCCCTTCACTTTTACTGGTGCATTAGGACTCACACAGACCACAGGTTGAGCGCCCCCTGCTGGCCTCACTAACACCACTTCCAACAGCAACCTAGTGTTCCCCAGTGGTCTCCCATCCAGCTACTGACCAGGCTCAGCCCTGCTTAGCTTCAGTGAGTAACCGGTCTTGGGCTGCAGGGTGATATGGCTGTGCATTGATAATGTTTTTATTTTATCACCTTACCATGACAAGTTTACATTGAGTAAAACTTGTCAAAAGGATAAATACAGCATTTGCATTAAATTCCACTTCTGAAGTCTGAAAACTCACAGGGTAGAGACAAGTTGTTTTGTTTATTACTCAAAAAGGTTATAAGAGAAAGTAAATAAAGTAATTTAAAACTGAAATGTTATACTTTTTGTAGGTGAACCATGGGCATTTTTTAGGCCTATTTTAGGGAGGCTGTAGCCCCCCTATATTTCTACTCAGCCCCCCTAAAACTTTTGCGATTAGCTCATAAACTGTACACTAAATTAGCGTCTAAGTCCCCTTTAAATTTGATCTGAAAACAGCTGAAGAATTTGGCTCCTCCCTGTCTTTTGTTTTTCATTTGATCAGCGAACCACAGCTGTGCAGAGTGAGAGAACAAAGTGTGTGTTTATCGATAGATTACGATAGTACTTAGGCCTATAATATCTGCTTATTTGCAGTTCTTTGCTACAGATACACTTGTATCACTTGTACCCCAATGTCATGGAGGAGCCATCGGGTTTCCCATCTACTGTTTCATCGGTGCTCACCTCATAATCACAGCTGTTTCCTCGAAAAAGTAGCTCTTATCAAACATTTCACTATTTAAATTTTAAAATTAACTACCATTATATAACACGTTTTGTGTTAGTGCATGTGGCATTAACTATACCATACAGTCCTGCACAGAAAGGATTAAAACAGTGACAGAACCAATTAGAGAATGTACCCATTTTAGCTGTCAGTCACTGACAGAGATAGAAACACCAAGTGTTGTCGTGTGTTTTCATTCATTCATTTTCTTGTCGGCTTAGTCCCTTTATTAATCTGGGGTCGCCACAGCGGAATGAACTGCCAACTTATCCAGCAAGTTTTTATGCAGCGGATGCCCTTCCAGCCGCAACCCATCTCTGGGAAATTGTTTAAAAAATCTTATTTATTACTGTGATTCAGATCATGAAATATGTGAATTAGCCTGTAGGTTTAAAAATATGTTTGAATTTGCTGTTTAATTTGAAAAGTGGCAGTTTTATTTATTTAATACATGGAAACAAAAAATGTACTTAAATATAGAAAGTGTTTTTTACTACAGTAAACAGATGTGTTGAGCCTATTTGGCTCATTCAGAACTCAAATGGCTATCTCTGTTTTTGCAGTACAGTTTTTTTTCCATATTAAACATTTAAACTTTTATTAATGTCTTACTATTAAATTACTACTTTATATATATATATATTTATAATTTTGTTATTTATTTTTTTACCTCAGGAGTTGAGCCCCCCAAAATGAAAATCCTAAAATCGCCCCTAAGGTGAACTATACCTTGTACATGCACTTTTTTATGGTGCTTTTATGGTTTCCGCTGCACTTTCAGTGACTTGATCTGCACATGGCCTATTTCTCTGCACCTTGTTTAAATAATTCAGTCGCTAAGAACATTTAAAACAAACATTCTTTTATTGGCTGTCCAGATTTAAAACCATCCTTAAATGACCAGTTTTAGGTTTCTCTCTCAGATGTTCGCAATGAGGTGTAAACAGACATTAAGTGTGGGGATGGGCAGTATTTCAGATACATGTATTTCAAATACAGTACGTATTTTAAATACAAAATAGTATTTAGTAATTTGTATTTGTTAGAGTTTATGAAAATGGGTTTATATTTTGTATCAAAATACTTTAGTGTCTTGTATTTTGTGTTTTTAAAATACTGTAAAATACTTTGCAAGAAGTCTACAAGATGACTTCCTAAATTGCGGCCTCAGATTGATGCTTTCTCGGTTTTTTGCCTTGGCTTGAGATTAGAACAGAAAATCCTCAGTGTCAGTCTCAGTGCTGCAGGTGGAAACGCAGAAGAACTTTAGAATAATAAAACACCCAAAGATCCTGTACTGGTGTTCACTAAGGGGGTAAACTGAGACTCTTCCAGTTTAAAAAGAACTGAAAACATAGGCAGGATCAGTAAACTGCACAAATAATAGTAGTTTTAGATTGATTGCTGATGTAGATGCCAAGAAAATAAGACAAACAACATACAGTCCTACAGTGGCGATTCACAATAGCTTATCTGCGGTAGCTCTTTATAGTAATTGAAGAAAAAAAGATGTAAAGTGGAAGAATGTAGTGAATGAGACACAAATATTTAATAATACTCCAGTCTATACAGTCTGGTCAAAAGCTCCAGAGTTTATTTGCAAAAACAGCTCCATTTTATAGAGATATCATTACTAAAACTGGAGATTTTAGTAGTTTTCAGAAATCATGTTTTTTACATTAAGTATGAAAGATTTCAATTGCAAAAAAATTAATTTATCAAAAAATATGTGAAGAAAAAAATTAAATGAGGGCAGTATAGTGGATCAGTGGTTAGCACTGTCCTGTTCCTGTACAGTAGAGGTGAATGAGTTGGCAGAGAAGCTGACTTAAACTTGCTCTGAGAAATGCTGTTGCAATATATCATTATTTACTTTACTAAGTCAGTTTAAAGGTAAGATAATTGATCGAATAGGCTTGTCGATAGAAGGTTTATAAAGAAATGTCATGCTCCTTTATAAAAAGAACTCTGCAGTATGTTCAAAACACAGTATTTTATTTTGATACATTTGTGGCTGCTGTATTTTGTAGTTTATTTTGATACATTTAAAATTGATGTATTTTGTAGGCTATTTTATTTTAAAATACATTTTAATGTATTTTGCCCATCCCTGCGTACAAGCTTAGTTTCAGTACCTCACATTTTTAAGGTAAATAATATATGATTTTAAGGACAGCTCTATACATTAGCATTTCAACACAATAGCCACGATCAAAAATGACATTCATTTTCAATTAATGTCCGAATGATGGCCAATCAAATTAAAGTAGGCGGAGCTTATTGGAAAAACAATGCGCGCGGATTTCATCAGGAAGAGAGGGCGTCGTTTGTTGTTGTTTCACCGCGTTGAACAAGAGCAAGGTAAGAATGAAGTAGCTGGAAATATTTAATATTTGTATTGTCTTAGAAGTTTTACATGACAATTTTTATAATTCATTAATACAAAAACTTCTTTGAGTTGCCCTTTAGGATTTAAATCAAACTTTGCTTATCAACACATACATAAAACACATGTACATACACCTATAAATTACTCGCATATACACCTATACTACTGGATGTTCAAAACAACATAGATGAAACTTGTGTATATACATATAAACTTGACGCATGAATACACCCACATACACACGCACATACATATAAACTCGATCCTTTCTAGAATTCTAGAAACATCCTTGCAGGATGTTGAAGCAAGTTGGAGCTAAAATCTCCAGGACGCCGGAACTGGAATTCCAGAAGGGAACAGAATCGACTGCTACACCGACGTTTGGACACCCCTGTTATTTTGTTTTTTCTATGAAAGTCGATGCTTACCTGTTTTCAGCTTTTGTGTTCAAAAGAATAAAGAAATAAAGGTTTGGATAGAACCAAATAATGAGTAAATAGAATGTGAATGTTGAAGTTTGGATGAACTATCCGTTTAAACTTTAAAAGTTAAATATCTAACAATTGAATTGATTGGGTCTTTGTGTAACCAAAGAAACATTAACCAACAATTCCAGCAATAACATTTTTCCTAAAAATTTTGAATAAATCAGCATTACATGTAAATTGTCATGTTGATAAATTGTAATAATTCTAAGTTTATATTTTAAACAAAATATATGAAGTGTTTACAGTATTTTAATATAAATACACTGATAGAAACAGCATTTCAAATGGAAAGTGATTTTATTTGTTTAGAATTAGACGACACCATTTGACCTGTTACAAAAATCCCCATTTATAAATTGGAGAGTATTAAACATTTTTTAAAAATATTTAACATTTACATTTAAAGTTTCTTTTATTTTCATCAATGAAAATTACTTCTCCTACATGGCATTTTTGCTGTATGGAATGGACAAAACTTTAAAAGATAGTTCACTAAAAAACTGAAAATTCTGTCAACATTACTCTTCTCTACTTGTCAAAAACCCAACAGGCACATTGTGAAAACACACCCCCGTATACATTTCTGGAGAGCGTGAATTATGTAGCCAGAGCAATGTATGTCTGCATTTTGTCTCTAAAATGAACAATATAGTTTGGTACAGTATGATGCCACCAACAAGTTTGTTTCTTTTTTGCACTACCAGCTGGCCGCTTACCTCAAGTGTGGACGGCTTTTCTACTGTTATCAGTTTTCCTAGTGGCTCGCTGCTTATGTCGGTGGACTTGAAATGCAGAGAGGAGTTGACCGTGACAATGGGGTTCGAGTCTGGTGAAGAACGATTCCAGAAAGCAGGTAAAACAAAAACAGAAGCCAAAGAATAAAATAAACAAGTAAATAACAGGGTGAGAATTAGGTAAGATCTGAAAACATGGTAAAAATCAGGTGGTCACGAGGGCTTTTCTTTTTCTGCATTGCTTTTAAAAAAACTATTGGTTGGGTTTATAGAAGTGGGTGGGGTTTAGGGAAGTGGGTGGGCGGGTCTAATCTGTGCTTTTGAAAACATTATCGGTTGGCTTTAGAGAAGGGGGTCAGTGGGAGTGTCAGTCAGTCAGCTGACAGCGGCTTTACGTGAGAACAGCAGGTGCGAATGGCCCTCGCAAGAGAAATTTGAGATCTGGAAAAGTGTTCACAGTGATGAATTCGCGAAAACAAAACTGCAAAAAGAGTACCTCCTGGGACGTATTTTGTGCTCTCCAGAAATGTATACAGAGCTACGATTAAATAATGAGCCTGGGTTGCAAAACCTGTTTGAGTTTCTATTTGGTGTAGTACACAAAAACATTGAAAAGAACTTGTTGGAAACCGGTAACCATTGACTTCCATACAAAAAAAAATTACTATTGATCTCAATGGTTACCGGATTCCAACATTGTTCAAAACAGGTTCTTTTGTCTTCAGGAGGGGAAAAGACTCGGGGATCGATTTTATTTTATTTTTTTAGGATATTTTTTTTAAAACTCAGTATCTCAAACCCTCTCAGATATAACCTTTATTCCAAGGTGACGATATTCCTATGAATCACTACAAATAGAAAACACATGATTCAGAGAACAAAAGCAGACTTGTACTCAGTGCCATTCAATGCTTCAAACATATACTTATCAACGTAAGATTAATGCAAAACAAACACAAATGGAGCAAAAAAAAAATCATCTCAGCAAACTGAAATGTGTCGCGTCATTTTCAATTCCCTTAAAAAATCGTCCAAGATCTTGAACGCGTCTTATGATTTGTGGTTGTGTTTTTCGGTGTCACATGAGCAAGACGATGATGTAGATGAGCAGCAGGCAGATTAGGATGAGGGAGAAGTTGATGATGAGATCCTGTAGGTTGCGTTTGGTCTGCGGGTTCACCTCGATGTTGGATGCTCTCCGGATCGCAGAGCGCGTCATATGCTGCACCCGCTCCATCCTGACAGTCAAAAGTGCAGACTATCGGCAGTGAGAGCAGTGGAGATGATGAGGCTGGTGCTGGTCCAGTGGTGCTTTTTGAGGAAACAGAGACATCAGTCTATTTTAGGATGATGACATAGGCTTTAGAAATAAATAAATAACAGGTGATGAGTATTATAGGGCTGTGTTTTAATGAGGATGGATTAAGCGTTATTTAACCCTTTCGTGCATGATGTTTTGGTTGTGATGTAGAGAGATGTGTCCCAGCAGGCACACAACATCATAAGATGTTAACATAAGGTTAGATTTAGGTCATGACGTCAGGTGATCAAAATGCAATGTCTAGCCAGCGTCTAAGGACAACATTACTTTGACGTCCAATATTGATGCCAAATTACATTGTTATTTGGTTAATTTTAGGTTGTGTTGAAAAGTTATCATAATCCAATATCTGATAGATGTCATGGTGGTAACGTCCATACAACGTCAATGGTGAAACATGATTAGACATTGACATTTGGTTGATTTTAGGTTGGACGTTGGACATTGACGTCGGCCTGACATTGGGTTCTGACTTTTCATTTCCAGACAAAATCCAACATCCCCATTAAATTGGGGTACAACGTCAATATGACATCAAGTTGATGTCCTGTGCCTGCAGGAGTCATTTACATTTAGAAATACATGAATGCACATTCTGTATGCTTTTAATTTACAAAAAAAAACATGGTAACCTATTATGCAAATATCACTTTTATAAGGGGGTTTAAACACAGTTGCGTGGCAACAGTATGTGAATATAATCAGCTTCTAATGATGAAAATGTGTTAATTTTAATTTATTTTTTTTTATAATCACACTTCATAAAAACAGTCTGCAGAAACATTTTGATTGACATTCTCACTTTTGTACATGTAATCAGAGGTGGGAAGCCCCGCCCATTAGCAGACTATCGGCAGTGAGAGCAGTGGAGATGATGTGTGTGTGTGTGTGTGTGTTTGTGTGTGTGTGGTCACGTGTTGTGCATTGTCAGCGGTATAGTGTAGACGGAGAGATTTTATCAGAAATGCTAGATGAAACGCCAGTGAGGATCGTTTTCGTTCTACAATGCCATTTTAAACTAAGACTTATTAGTATAAAGGGGGCCTAAGTGTGTATTTTTGCGAGCAGGTTGCTGCTGCGAAGGGGGCGGGACGGAGGATCGCGATGCTGGCTCAGTATGGCATTGTCTATCAACCCAACCCTTTATACAAATACTACATGGATATGTCATATAGTTAGCAAATAGGGCTGGGCGATAAATCAAAAAGTAATCTAAATCGTCATTCAGAACCTATAATCGATAATTGTCCAGGACAATTTTTTAAATTACTTTCCCTACGTGTCACATGATTCCATTCTGTTAAAGGTTGTGGCTGATTTCTGCTTCCGCAGCCACTTTGCAGCACATCTGATCTTTGGTCAAATAGGACAATGGGCTCATTCTTGAGCCTTACTTTGCACTACATTGATGATCATTGGAAGCTGCGCCAGAGATGCCTTTAGACTGCATATAAAACTTGTCAGAGGGCAAAATAATAATAATAATAATAATATTTGTTCATTAATTGTAATAAAGTTAAAAGTACAATTAATCGATATTTTGATTTTAGGCCAAATCACCCAGCCCTATTATCATATACCGTAGTTCATAAAAATGCATAAAATTAGCATTCATCCATGAATCTTTAACCCCTATTATTATTATTATTATTATTATTATTATTATTATTAGGAGTGTTACTGGGGTTTATTAGAAAACTTTTTAACTTTTATGACTCAAAAAAGCCAAGTCATTGTAGTCAGTGTCTACAGTATGTAGTTTATATTTATGATTCTTCTCCTGGTTAATAATAATAAAAGCAAGAATCCCTCAATCAGATTGTTTAATTTTATGTATTCATAGCATGCATTTGTCTTTTGCATTTTCACCATTTGCCAAAGTAATCTGATTAGCTCAAAGTGCATTTACAGTCACACTCTTACCCTCTTCAGGGCACTCGTGTTGAAATCTGTGAAAGACATGCACTCGATGGAGACAGACACTTGTCTAGCAGCAAACGCTGTAGTCTTATCACTCTCTCCAGATACGTGCACAGAATTTGCCAAAACTTCTCATGTAGTCAGTTGAGTCACTCTAAATGTCAACACTTTTTTTTAAATTACATCGCAGTCAATCATTGGTACATTTCTTTTTTTGTGTGTGTTGTGTTTCATTTCACTTTACTAGACAGTTTCCTCTACGAAAGGTATAAAAAATCATGTAACGCACACAGAGCCATGGATTATCCTGGTTATACCATGGTCAGTTGTCTTGTCACCACAGCAGTGATAATCTGAAGCTGTTATTGGTGTTTTCAGTAAATATTTGACTGTAAAAGTTAATTACAATGTTATTGTTTGTTAGTTATAGCTTGTCAGATCAATTGTTGTGACATTTTAAATCAGAAAGTGTCTTGTGGTAAGATTCTGTTTACATTTGAATTAATTATTGCATTTACTTGAAAAAATAAATGATAGCATCTCCCTACAAAAAAGTGGTAAAAAGAGTAAAATGACAATTAGATGGATGACAATGGATTTAAAAAAGAAATGTATTCTGAGCATAAAAAAAGTTTAATTACAACACAGATGTTGTCAGATTTTATTTGTGCTTTCGAATATGAAAATTAATATTGCTTTGTGGAGAGTAGGGCTGCAAAATATATCATTTCGGTATTTCGAAAAATGATACCACAATATTGATATTGATATTGCAATGTGTGTATCTGCAATAGTCTGTGTCAAGGTGGGATTATAGTTATCAAAAAACATGGTTCAGAACACATGATTTGTGGATATTATTATTACACATGATTGTGAATATTAACTAGGGCTGCACAATATATCGTTTAGCATTGAAATCGCACATCAACAAGTCACATCACAGGATCTGCAATGTCGAGTTGGGATTATCCACAGTTGAAAACATCCATGATTTGTGGATTCAGTGCAAAATTGAACTAAAGTTAACCAACATGTTTATCATTTACATTTTTAAAGGCTGTGAGCATTTTAAGCCAGTTTAAAACATTTAGGCAAAAAATTATAATGTTTGTAACTTTAAGAAAGATTCATTGTATTTATGTGTTTATACAATGCAGTCTATACAGTCATATTTTACATTTATTTGTTTATTATTTTGCCTGAACACTGCTAGACTCCCAGCATAAAATTCTGTGCATTTCAGTTGCACCTTTGCTCCTCTGTATTTACCAATACTAGTTTCATGCAGCACTAAACTACAAAATCATACCAATCAAACCAAAATTATGTGTCATTTCCAAACAGATCCATTTATTTAATCTGGTGAAAGTAAGTAAATATTGCAATGTCACTTTTTTTTCCCAGTATCGCGCATCTCTAATTTTAACCATAATCTAATAGTATGAAAGATTTTTACCTGGATGTATTTTAAGGCCTGCACCTGTAAGATTTAGAGCAAATTTAAACAATTTAGGAAGACGAAAATATACAGTTTGCCACTTTAACAAAGATAAATTGTCTTAAACAAAAAAAAAACATAAAGCACTGTTCATTTCAATTTTATCTTTGTTTTGTTGTTTTCCTCTGTGCTTTAAATGGTTCATAAAACTTTTTTGGAAATTTTGTGATATTTTATGCTGATAGATTCCCCCACAAAATTATCCCAATCAATGTAAAATTATGAATTCTTACCAAACAGATACTTATGTCAAATTGTGAAATTACAATCATTGCGCAATACAAAATATCACAAAGTCAGTTTTTTCAAATATCATGCAGCCCAAGCAGAAAGCCTGATAGACTTTAATGTTTCACCTTTCGCCATTAAATGAAATAGCTGTCCAAGAGGTGAGATGCCATAACATGTATAAACATTTACTTTTATTATTGTAAAATCATTACAGTAGCAACATTATTTCACTATTAAACATCACATTATGACATTGACTATGTTTACATGGACATCAGTAATCAAATCGTTTGCCTTAATCTGAATAAGACAATAATATGATTAAGGTGTTTACATGAGCTGCTTTTTAAATGTTCCTTTAATTATCCTGTTTTACATGTTGTAGCACATAATTCAAATAACTTCATTGCGTCATCGTGCGATTTTTCATTTGTCGATTTTAACTGCAGTTTGGCACATTCACTTTTAATAAAGAACTTTTCATGCCCCCCATGACAAACGACATATTGGATGCGAGTATGATCTGCGGGAATGTTGTTTTAATGGAATTTGATACCGCACGCCAAATGGGAGAAAAAACCTCTGCATTTCGCAATTCAGGTATCTGTGGTCTTTCACTGACTCGGTAGGTATAGAAAATAGTGTCAAACAGTTGTGTGTGTATAGGCTATGCTTTACAAATGCTGCAAAAATCCTACATGATGATGGTAATAGTTTGATTACGTTGTTAACATGTCTTTACTGCACCTCGCTAATATCTACATGCTCCACATGTCTTAATTCCATTTCTGTTTAGTTTATGACCTTAATCAAATTAATCAAAAATTGCTGTTTACATGTTGGACTCTTAATCAGACTATTGTCTTAATCGCATTAAAATTGAATTATTTGTGTCCATGTAAACGTACCCAATGAGAACAATGTAACCGTCACTAGTGGATGGGCAGATCGCACAAAAAAGTATCATGAGATTGTAAAAAGTGATATGTATAAGCAACTAATCTATTAACGTGAAACAGTTATAAACTGCCATAAGATTGCATTGAATAAAACTGACTGAAACTAGAATGCACACCTTCCAGCCAATCAGAATAGAGTATTAAGACAACCTACTCCATGAATTCCAAGTATCTATCTGAATTATTTTCAAGGAACAATGTCCCTATTAACAAAGTTAATTGACCATTAAATTTAATTGGCTTTTCTCTGTCTGCCTCTCTGTCGTGCTTATCCAGCCTCAGGGAATGAGCATTTAAAATGGGGAATTTCAGCGCAGCATATAGTTATAAGAAGTGCTGGATTTTTTTTAATGCCCTCAAGCTCAACATTTGACCTATACTTTTCTCTAGGCTGCTGCTTTGGATAAACACAGCAACTTGATGCCAAAAATAAAGGATAATAGGTTGTACGTCAACACTTGATCTTTAAATGCTCCAAAAGGCAGTGTTTATCAGGGAAGGACTGCATTCCAGTCCTGTAATCCAGTGGCTATTATACTGTAAAGTAAACATGAGCATCTGTGATCAGGACGCACTGAAGTCAACAAAAGCTAGATTTGTCTTTCATTTAGTTTTAGAAGTGTGGCTGTGCAGTATAACAAACAAATCATCAGTGCACCTACTTTATTTTTATAATCCTATGTTAATGTTTGGACTTTGACCGACTGTTTTCTGCTCACTAATTTGCATGGAAACAAATTTGATGAAAGTGGCATTTCAGTACAGCATGCAAATATCCAAATGCCCTTCAGCCTCAGTTTGTTTTTAAATTCTATATTTTGATGTAAACTACATGCAATAGCAGAGATGTAATTTTTAGCGTTAAAGCTCATACTTTAACAATGATTTAGTAAAGTAGCTGTCGTTCAGTTCAAAGACTGACTGATTTATCGAAAGTCTTTTTCTTACCCGTCGAATGGCAGCCAAAGAAAGAAACAGTCCTTTATAAGGATGATTGTGAAGCAGCAGGAAATGTAGACACACTGGCTCTTGGGACATGCTGCAAAGTTTATAGGAGGGATTGAAAGGGGTGTGGAAAACACACAGGAGGGCGGTGGATGTGAGAACAGCACAGGACGGGGCTGTTTTTATCCACTCCTCTGGGCAGTGTTTGTTGTGATGACACACGACTGATGAAGGAAGTCAATGCACGATCATTATTGATCCAAACTTTCGTTTATAGTAAACAGAAAAGACAGACAGAGCAAGTGATTGCAGTGAAACAAAATGTAATATAATAGTGCAGAACAAAAGTTATGTGTAGGCTGTCATTAAAGTTACACTGTGAGAAAAATCCAGGGTTGCACACAATTGTTGTCCCAAACATAAAGCATTCATTCATTCATTCATTCATTCATTCATTCATTCATTCATTTATTTTCCTTTAGCCTTGTTCCTTTATTAATCAGGGGTCTCCACATTAGAATGAACTCCCAACTTATCCAGCATATGTTTTACACAGCGGATGCCCTTCCAGCTGCAACCCAGTACTGGGAAACACCAATACACTCTCATACACACACATACACTACAGCCAATTTAATTTATTCAATTCACCTATAGCGAATGTGTTTGGACTGCGGGGAAACCTGGAGGAATCCCACGTCAACACGCGGAGAAAATGCTAATTCCACACAGAAATGCCAACTAGCCTAGCCGGGACTCGAACCAGCGACCTTCCTGCTGTGAGGCAACAGTGCCCAACAAATATCAATTAATTGGATGTGTCTATTGTAAGTGGACTAAGCATAAACCAATTAAGGTGTCCTAAATAAAACTCAAGAACTGTGTTGTTTTAGCTCGTTTAATAAGTAGTTTGAATAGTTATTTTTGAGTGTACTTCTGTGTCAGTCTAATGTTGCGAGAACTAATTGTGGATAACAAAAGTAATTTTCCAAGTGCAGCTTTAAGATTAGTCGAACAGGCAGGCAGTGGTCAAACAGCAACATACAGGTCATCCAAGCCGTAGTCATAAAAAACAGGTGTAAGCAAACAGCAAAAAAAAAAGCATACAACAAAAAGACAAGGCTTGTGTGTGTGTGTGTGTGTGTGTGTGTGTGTGTGTGTGTGTGTGTGTGTGTGTGTGTGTGTGTGTGTGTGTGTGTGTGCGTGCGTGCGTGCGTGAGTGCGTGTGTGTATATTAATAGTCCAACTGATTAGCGATCATCAACGGTGATCGCCATCTGGTGTGTGTGAAATGGCATGATGGGATTTGTAGTTCGTAAAGGTGACCTTTATATCTCACCAATGATCTGCCAGGACTGGATCGCTGGTGATTGACAAATGTATTCTCAAGAACATGTTTGTTGTTTGTTTTTTTTGTCAAATTTACAGACATAAGTTGTTTTAATTAATTTTTTTTATTTAATAAGATATTTTACATTTACTTACTCAATTATTAGAGATTTTAAATGAATAGATAATATAAATTGTAAATAATTTAATTAAATAATACATATTAAACCAGGGTGAGGCAGTGGCACAGTAGGTAGTGCTGTCGCCTCACAGCAAGAAGGTCGCTGGTTCGAACCTCGGCTCAGTTGGTGTTTCTGTGTGGAGTTTGCATGTTCTCCCTGCCTTTGCGTGGGTTTCCTCCGGGTGCTCCGGTTTCCCCCACAGTCCAAAGACATGTGGTACAAGTGTATTGGGTAGGCTAAATTGTCCTTAGTGCATGAGTGTGTTTGTGGATGTTTCCCAGAGATGGGTTGCGGCTGGAAGGGCATCCGCTTCGTAAACACTTGCTGGATAAGTTGGCGGTTCATTCTGCAGTGGTGACCCCGGATTAATAAAGGGACTAAGCTTACAAGAAAATTAATGAATGAAAGAATATTAAACCAACAAATTAATCCAACCTTCAAAAACATCAAATATTATTACTAATAAAGTACAAAACATCCCCAATTGTCCGTAATTAATTAAGAATTATAAAAATCAGTAACCTTATTTAGTTATAAATCCCATTCAATTTAATAAACTCAAAAAAAAATTTTGCTACTTATTTAGTACTTAATACTTATTTAAAATGAGCTAAAACAACACAATTCTTACATTTACATCACATTTAGCAGACGCTTTTGTCCAAAGCGGTTTATAATTAAGGAGGCATTCAGCGATTCATCAAGAAGAGGCAATACACACAATAAGTGCTAGTTTTTCAAAGTAACTTGTTTGTGCTCAGAGAATTTAGTGTTTAAGTAAGAGTGTTTTTAGAGAGAGAGCGAGACAAAGATATGTGGTCTTGGTTTTATTCACCAGGGTTTAGGTGTTTGCAGTAGAAATGGGTTTTTAGTTATTGTTTGAAGGATACCAGTAAATCTGCAGTCCGTGGGGTAACGGGAAGATGATCCCAGCAGCGAGGAACATTCTTGAGATTTTGGTATCACTTTATTTTGAGGGTCCCTTTAGCGAATTTTGTTGAATTTAAGTTACATTGCATCTACATACCAACTATTTCTATAATCAATAGATTATAAGTAGACTGTTAGGTTGGGGTTAGGGTTAGGTTTAGTGTAAGTTGACACCCACATAGCAAAATTTCTCTGGCCCAGCTCTGGCCCACACAATCAGGTTTTGCTTGGCCCACATGCCGCAGTGAATTACGGTACATGACAGGACCAAATCTGGCTTCCAGACAAGGGCCAAACATTGACCATATCTGGGCCAAGTCTCAGCCAAGTTAATAACTCATAACTGGGCCAGATATAGGTTGGTGTGTCACGATTGCTATGAAATTGATAAACCCATGGAGTGATGCGCTTTAGGCACACTATGGGCACGCTTTTTCTCAAAGTGACCTGATTGGTAGAATTTTTTTTCTTTACTCAAAAATGATTTTAGTGTATTTTAAATGTGGGTCAAGACTGGCCAAACTCACATGGCCTACTTATCAAATTTTTAAATCTGGGCCAAATACCAAGTTTTTCATCTGGCCCAAATCTTGTGTGCCGCCTTAAAGACGGTGCCACCTCTGCCAAACCCGGGCCATGTTTGGCCCACATGCTGTATGCCAGTGCCGGATGAATGCCTGCTGTGCCAGCTTTATGCCAAATCTGGGCCAGAATTCTTTGCTACTAGGGCATGTACTTGCAAAGATACTGATAGTAAGTTAAATGTGTTGAATGAGTAGTATCAGCATTAAACAGACCGTCTACTAATACTAATAAATGAGAATGAATTGACATGTAGTTGCAATGCAACTTTCAGTCAACAAAATGTGCAATTGGGACCATCAAAACAAAGTCTTATCGAGAGTTTTTTGGGGGAAAACTTTTTTATGTTCAGTCAACTTAAATTCATAAAAAATAATCAATTTAACTTTGTTGGGATTCATGTTAGGACAACATTTGAATTGTATGAAACCTTAAATTTTTTACAGTGTAGTTTATATTCAAATAAATTTATTACATCCGAAAGGTCTAGATTGCACCAAGTAGCAATCTAAATTAAACATGATTTTTTCAAAGAACAAACACTGAAATTGTATTTTCTTATAGAACATGCTCTAATATTTTTTTATTTACAACTTTCATTTTTGCAAAGTGTTGTTGTTTCAAATCTGAAACAAAGACTCTTGTTGATGCTGAGAAAAACACGAAGACCCCGCGGAGACTTCTTTGTGTTAAAAGAGCTTTACAGGCTTTAGAAAACCTAAATCAAGCGCGGGATAAACACTGGAAAAGCGCACTGCTCTTATCATACAGCCAAACGATGCATACAGGAATGCCTGCTGGTTGTGTTTTCCCTGGATTTGACTTTGCTGGCTTTGGCATTCCTCCATGTGTCCTGCTGTCCCACAGAATTGCCGGACACAAGTGTGCAATTCCACAGCATAAGCCCTGGTAGCACACGACCGCTTCACAATGAAAGTACAGTAATAAGGGAGAAGGTGACAGTGCAATGTGTCATCACAGATGGATGAATTCATCTCTGGATGAGGATTGCTTTTATCCCGTCCTATATAAAAGCCTTTTCTCAGTCACTCTACACTGTAAAAATATGTTTGTTGAGTCGGTTTTAAATTTTTTTTTACTCCTCTGCCTTATTAACATTATTATTTTTTGTTGTTGTCTTGACGAAATATCTTGTTTGATTAACTTTTCTTTAAAAAGTCCCAATAATAAAACTGCTTAAGTTAGCTTGGCTATTAGACATCTTAAGTCAAGCTGTCAATATGGGAAAATATTTTAACTTGAATTGATGTAACATTTTAAACAGAAGCACATTTGTTTGGTTTAAAATCTTTAGACAACAAAATCTTTTATCAACTCACACACATTTATATATAAAATCACACATTTCAAAAGGTGCTGCTGTTTAATGAATGACCTTTGCAAGGGCCTAAGAATTAATTGCATTTTGTCACATCAAAACCACTGTTTTTACATTTTTATAGAATTTCATATTTGTAATTTCAGGATCATTGTTTGGATGAATGCATAATGTGACCTGTTTACATATAGCTCATCTTCAAAATATATATCACAGACTGCTTTCAAGTGTTTCTCCTGCTTGGACAATACAGGTATGATTGAAAAAAATCAACCTAGGCTCATTCTGATTACATACCCATATTTATATTTCTGGAGAGCGGTAAATGCGTCCCAGGAGCTAAGTTTTTTTTTTTTTTTTTAACAGTTTTTGTGTTTGCGAATGCAGCAGTGGCTGCTGTGTATGCTTTTTCAGATGTCTCTCACGAGTCCCATATGCGTCTGCTGTTCTTGCTTAACTCCACAAGAGGCCGCTTTCGACTGACTGAATGACCAACCGACCAATCCTCCTACATTCCTTTTTCCCTAAACCCCACCGACAGTGCTTTAAAAAGCAATCTAAAAACAGAAAAACCCCTTGCCTGATTTTTACTACGGTTTCAGATTTTACTACATTCTCACCCTGTTATTTTCTTGTTTATTTAATTTTTTAAGTTTTGTTTTTGTCCTACCTGCTTTCTGGAGTCGTTCTTCGCTGGACTCAAACCCCATCGTCACAGTCAACTCCGCTCTGTGTCTTAAGTCCTCCGACATACACAGCGAGCCACTGGACAAACTGA